CGGGGGTGAGCCCACGCATGCGAACTTCGCTTGGTGAGGGAACACCAAGGGGACAGGGGCGGTAGAGGACACGTGTTTTCGTGGGCTTGCCCCCCGGCCCATGCCAACTAACTTGTGTCTGACCCCCACCGACCGTTGCTGAGGTGCGGGGGTGACCTGGGAAGAGGAAGAGACCGAGAACCAATCGATGCGGCAGGGTTGTGGGTGGAACAGACCGGGATACCCCGGGAGCAGGCCTCTGGCTGCGATAGGTGCCTCGCCCCCTTCTCTGCCCCCACGTCTGCTCGCCCCAAACATTCCCTCCTCGCCACCCCCTCTGGTTTTGTCTGACTTACTCTTTAATTAAAGATTCTGTGTCCCTGGTAATATTCTGTGTCCTGAGTAACAATTCGTGTCCCTTGGAAACGATTCTGTGCCCTGAGTAAGTTTCGTTCCCTGAGTACGATTCTGTGTCTGTCCTGAGTAAAGTTTCGTGTCCCTCGTAACGATTCTGTGCCCTCAAACGATTCTGGCCCCTGAGTAACGATTCTGTGCCCCCGGGTAACGACTGTGCCCTGAGTAACAATTCTGTGCCCCTGATTAAAACAATTCTGTGTCCCTGAGTAACGTTTCGTGCCCTCAGTAACCCCGAAAATTCTGTGTCCGGGGTAACAATTCTGTGTCCCTGATAACTTTCTGTGTCCCATAACTTTTTCTTTTCCCCCAGAAACGTTTCGTGTCCAAAGTAACATTCTGTTCCTGAGAACAATTCTGTGTCCCTGTACATTCTGTGTCCCTCAGAAAACGTTTCTGTGCCCCTCAGTAACGATTCCCGGGAAAAAATTTTTTCCCTAGTAACGATTCTGTGTCCCTGAGTAACTTCTGTGCCCCTGGAAACGTTCTGGCCCCTGAGTAACTTTTCTTTTTCAGTAACGATTCTGTGCCTAGTAACTTTTTGGGTTGTCCCTAGTAAAAATTCTGTGCCCCGGGGAGTAAAATTCTGTGCCCCCGGGGAAAACAATTCGGGTTTTGCCCCTGAGAAACAATTCTGTGCCCCTGGTAACAATTTGTGCCCCTCAGTAACATTCTGTGCCCTAGTAACAATTCTTGTCCAACCGGGAGAAAAAATTCTTGTTTGAGTAAAAATTTTTGGTTTTGCCTAAAAAAAGGGGTTTAGAACTTTCTGTGTCCCGGATAACGATCGGGCCCCAAGTAAGATTTGGGGCCCTAATTAAACGATTCTGTGGCCCTAAAAAGTCTCCTGGCCAAAACTCTGCCCCTAATTTACAGACAGGTCTGTCTCTCTTGAATACCGGAGTTGGAGAATTTTTAAAGAAGGGCCGCAATTTATAGCCCCACAAAAACACAGTGGGTGGTGGCGTTTTGGGGTTTAATGCGATCACATGTATGAATAAGCATTAGGGCAGCGCCCCTTGCTGCCCCCTTTCCCCAGAGATCCCCGCCCCGCCCACATGTCCCCCCTTTTTGGGAAAAATTCGATTCGTGAAACCCGAATTTGCTAATTTTGGATTCTATACTGGAATTTTATTTATTTATTTTTATACTAGTAATGGCAGTGATCAGTGACTATAGTGAGACTGTGATAGTGTGGTGAGCAATCTGACACTAAACTGATGCTGGTTGGGAGGTACACTAACTAATTGACTAACTGACACTGACATCACAGTGACACTAAATACAGTGGTCAGCGATAATTCATTTACACTGTCACTGTACTAATGACACTGGACTGGGAAGGGGTTAACATCTAGGGGCAATGAAAAGGGTTAAACTGTGTGCCTAAGAATGTGTGATGCTTCTTTTACTAAATATCTGCTTGTTCCTTTTACCTGCTTTGTTGTTCTGGGTTCTGCCATGCATATCCAGGAGGCAAAGGGGGAAAGTGCACTTTGTTCACCTAGATGAATGACGTAAACTGCAGGGGGGGCTATGCTATTTCATAAAAGAAAAAAAACATAGATAGTAGAAAAAAATAAATGATGAGGACTGGAGGAGGGGTGGAGCAGAGGGATGATGTCTTGCAGGGTGAAGATCCACTTTAAGTCCTTATTTAATAGTGCATGTTCTTCTTTAGACAATATCTGATAAGAAAGATTTAATATTTTGACTATGCTTAGGGTGATATGATTTTGTTCATTTATTGGGGTTTCGTTTTTGCTAGTTCTTCTCCTCTACACCCTCTTCTGCTGTTTTTCGTTTGTCTTTTTCCCGTAAAAAAGGAATCTTATTATTAGTGGCAGTATTGTTTTTGGGCTCAGTAGTTTTCAATTGTTGCTTCTTTTAATGTTGCTCAGCTGCTAAGGCCCAGAAAGTGTGATCTTGTATAATGCTCTGGAAAACTAGATAGCCAGAGGTTAGATATATTCCCTCTAGTTGTTTCATCCACCACTTACTTGGAATTATTCGTAATGAGTATGTTGTTTCTGTTTATTACCTTTTTGATCTATTGCAATATATATTTTTCCAGTACAGTTGCTAATGGGGGCAGATGATCATTCCAAACAAGTACTTTACAATTATTATTTTTATTTGTGAATACTTACCAAGAATCACACTGATAATTGTGTTAATTTCTTCCTGCAGAGAAAACTTACCCAAGTACCCAGTCCCCTTCCCAATTCATGTCACCTCTATCCTTAAAATAATACACAGTCCCAAGGGTAGCCACAGCACTCTGTTTGAGTTAAATATCCAGGGGCTCACCCACAAAGAAATCTTTACCAATCCAAACCAGGTATACAGGCACTCAGGTCTTGCAAAGGAGATAGATCAAAGCAGCAGCTTTTTTTTACTACCAATGTTCTAATGAAGCTCAGTCCTTCTTTCTCAAGACATGTTTAAAATAATACATTTTAGTCTTCCAAATTCATTATCCAAATTATTATATTCATTGAGCCAGATTTCTGTTATACCCACTATATCATAACCTGTCATCTAATGCAAATTCATTAATGTGGTTCAGAAGACATTTTGCATTTATTACCATACATTTCATGTCATTACCAGTACTTTTTTTATCCCTTCCTAAAGGTTTATATAACTTTCCTGTTCTTGATAACCTTATTCCCATTGCATTTCAATTAAAACTATGCTATTTGCCACACCATAAATTCACTGTTTTGCACTTTTCATATCCTTCACCCTTGGCAAACATCCTTGTTTTATTATATGTTCTATGTGTGTGACCAATATAAGCTAGTATAGTGCAAATGAGAAGTAATTTCCACTCACTCTGTCTGCTTTCAGTTTGCAGTGTAGAGTTTGTCAATATGGACTGCATGTTCATCTGTCTAGCACGTACAAGGAGACAAGTATCAACAGAATTTTGGTGAAAGGCAGTTTCAAATATAAAAATGAAAACTTTTCTCTTAAAACAACAAGGTATGTGATGCAGAGATGCAAATAAAACACATCCAAAAGCATAATTAGGTATACTGTGTTTGATTGTTTATTATTTTTTCAATTATGAATTTAACATGTTTTTATCTCTAGGAGGTAGAACAGACTTTTTACAATTTTTGTATAGTAACCTGTTTCCATGTATACCTATACCTAGTACATCTAACTATACAAATGATTATGTCTAACAAATTAATGTAACATAACACAAAGTGCATGTGAAAATTAATACCCTGTTGTAGAAGCTGGTTCTTCAGTACTATGTGTTTATAGGTTCATTTTACCATTTTTAAGCATTATTGCATACAAGGTGAAATCTTACATTTATTGTTGGTCTACAACTTTGAATTGTTCAGCTACCATTCTTTAAAAGTATTTTCTAGCAAAGACAGTATAAAAAGATTATGATCTCAAGAAAGTTTTTCGGTTGGTTTGGCTCTCTGAAGCATTCAAAGAAATTCTATCCCTGGGTGGTAAACAGCAGTATATCAAAGTCTTAACTGCATGGTGCTCATCTTTGAAGTATAAAGGCGACTTTGGTGTTAAACCCTAACCCTTTTATTTCACTGCATGAACAACATATGTGCTTTTGACATTTCATGTCAACATAAAATATAATCTGAAAGCTGAAGGTATTTAACCATTTTGAAAGTCATCCATGGGCCATGGCAAAGTTTATTTTTTTCTGTACCCTGACCTTCTCATTTAAGATAATTTTCAGCTTTCTATGTTCCTGAGGAAACAAAATGCATTTCAGTGTTGGCATTAGGAGCAGCAACTCCAACACTGGCCACTCGCTGCTTAAAGAGGAAAGGAAAAACTTTATTAAAAGCTTTGCGGAAGTTGGCACCCATGAATGCATACACAATGGGATTGATTGACGAATTGGTGTAGGACATACAGTGGGCCCATATCTTCACCTTATAAGTGTAGTAGTCACGTTTGAAAGTGGGACTAAATGCCTGCAGAAGGATATAGAGCTGAATGGGACCCCAACAGATAGTGAAGAGAAGTACAATAACAGCCACCATGCGTGAAACTTTGGTCCGCATTAGCTCAGAACGCTCAGCCAATAATTGCACCTTGAAGACAAAGACAAGCAAAATATTGTTGGTAAGACAAGAAGAGAACAGGAAATGCAAACATTATACAGAGTAGTTCATATGAAATGTGGGCACAAGGACAAAAAAATTAGATACAATTAATTATTTTATTTTTTTTACTAATAAAAAAATTATTGAAAATGGCTATTGCTGTCAATATATATATTATCAAACATATATTCAAAAAGGCTTATACAGCCCTCCACATCTCTCATATAGTTAAAAGGTATATATTTTATTGGTACAAAAGTATCACTCCAAATTTCACTTTGATACAGCAATGATATACAATACCTTAAAACAAAGTTTAAAGCCAATTTAAGCAATGGTCTGCACTCAAATATCATTTTTTGACCACCAGAAATAATGAATCTCATTGAAGACATAAATATCTTCTATCATGGCTATAAAACCTATACAACATGGAACATTACAAATCAGTTAAGTCTCTAAAGCTGTATCACTATGATTAAGACTTCAGCTGATATGCATAAGTGTTCAGCAGGGTATGTTTGGATGTTTCAGATTACTTATCTTTTACCAAATAAAGTATTGTGAAGCTCTACATTTAGTTAAACTCCCCCTTTAGTTAAAAATATGTCAAGAAGAAGCATTTATTTTCAGTATTCTGTTATCAGCATATTTGCAGTAGCAATCCACACTGGTAAAAGGTCACTGTGATTGATGTCTAAAAAAATCCTAAATATAGGATCTTGCAAACATATCCAGGGGTAGAGTTGTCTTCATGCCCTCACTCATGCACAATCCTATGACAGTAATATACTGTTAATTACAATCTGCTATGTTCGTTTATGAATTGTTCAACTGTATAAAAATATATCCACAGTTAAACATTGCAATGGCACACTCAGCTGACAGGAGCTTACACTTTTAATTTTCTGACTATGAGAGACACATAGGGGTTGATTTACTAAAGGCAAATAGTCTGTGTACTGCAAGTGCACCTACAAGTGCACTGCAAGTGCAGTTGCTTTATATCCAAGGAGAAGTTCTGAAATGAGGTGAAGCTCTGCTGATTTCTTTCATCCAATCACGTGCAAGCAAAAATGCTGTTTTTTTTAAATTTTCCTTACATGTTCCTCTCAGATCTAGAGCATCTGCACTTTCAGCGCACTTGCAGTGCCCTTCCAGGTGCACTTGGAATGCAAAGCCTTTTTGCCTTTAGTAAATCAACCCAAGCAGTGCAAAATAAAGAGAATCCCAAAAGAATGTTTAAATATATTGATAGTAAAAAGACAGAACTGAAGCATACTGGCCCCTTAAAGGATATTCAAGGGAATTTGGTTACAAGCGACAGGGAGAAGGCAAATGTGTTAAATACATTCATCTCCATGGAATGTTCCCTTATGCCTGATGGAAGCCAGTGTTCAAAGACTGGAAAACCTTATTGTATATAAATCACCAGGACCAGATGGCTTACACTCAAGAGTCCTAAAAGACCTTTTCCAGGCTATTGCTAGACCATTATTCATAATCTATAAGTATAGCTTACTGACCAGAATGGTACCAGCTGCCTGGCAAAAAGCTGACATGATGTCGATACTCAAAAAAAGACCAAGATGCATACCTGGAAACTACAGACCAGTCAGCCTAACATCAATAGTATGCAAATTATTGAAAGGTATAATAAGAGACCATATCCAAGAATTTGCTGTTGGATATAGCATCATTAGTAGTAATCAGCATGGATTTATGAAGGATCATTCTTGCCAGACCAGCCTTTTAACATTCTATGAAGAGGTAAGTTTCAATTTGAATAGAGGAAGACCTGTGGATGTGGTTTCTCTAGACTTCTAGATTTAATACAGTATCCCCATAAACGCTTAAAGTAGTTCTAAAGGTTGAAGGTTTTTTTTACCTTAATGCACTCTCTGTATTAAGGTGAAAAACCTTCAGAATGCAGCTCCCTCCCCATCCCCCCTTATATATACCTGAGCCTAATCTCAGTCCAGTGCTGTGCATGAGAGCAGAGGCTCTACTTGGTATCAATCAACACTAGCAATACAGTTCTAGGAACAAAGTCAACAAAGGAACTTAATGTCCATGATGGTACAACATTGCATCTAGTGTGGAAAGAAGGTTTAAACATTCTAAGCATTGGCCGCAGGTATTCCAATCTTGTTATCATTTATAAATATGAATTGTGGGGGAAGGTATTCATGACTCCCTAAATGAGCACACTGGTAGTGGGAGGAATGGTACGCTGTGTTTGTCTCTTTAACTTTTGAATTTAGCTCTACTCTTTGCTTCTGCAGTCATTTGTGGATTGCATGCATCTTGATAACAACATTTGTCGTCCCTATGTACTTTTTTTCTCAATTCTCATATTCCCCTCTGGTGATGTAATTAGGGAAAATTGCATCAGAATGTGGTGGTAGTTTGTTGGAAGCAATATCCCTGACTTTGACAAGACTGGAATACTTGCTGCTGATGCTAAAATTGCTTAATCCTTCTCCCCAAACTGGATTCAATGTTGTACCATGGACACATTTACTTATATCACTGACTTTGCCATTAGGATAAGGGCAATCATAGTACCACATGAATTTCAAAGTGTAAACTCCTGTCAATTGAGTGTGTCTTTTCAATGTTTATCTGTCAAAATATACAACAGTTTATACAGTCGACTGTAATTAACAGTGGATTGCTATCATAGGTTTGGAAATAAATTCAACAGGAAATAAAGACAACTATACCTATGGATACATATGAAAGAACTTAATTCTGTGGACCCTTTTCTACACATAATAGTCACAGTGAGCTTTTGCCAGTTTGGATTGCTATAGCAAATATACTGACAATATAATGTTGAATATATATGTGTCATCTTGAAAAGTTCATAATCAAAGAACTTACATACCAAAACACTGACTGCTTTATACCTTGACGATTCATATTAGTTTATGGTGAGAGTCATTTTGACTCTAGAGAACACTGGATGTAAAAATCTTCAGCGTACAGGATGATAAATGCTAATAATTCTTAAAAATTAATTTTTTTGTTAGGTTTATAGCCACAATTGAAGATATTTTAGGTTAGGATAACAATAATTGTTTGATAAGTGCTAATAATACCTACTGATCCTGACAAAATCCCAGTATTGTTCTGTGCACTCTGCAGTGTTTTCTCAAGCAGTGTCATCAGTCCTCTCTTGTTTAGCTTTGTGAACTACAGAACATAGCCTTCTATGTTCAGAAGATGGAGAGAGGGGGAGATGTTCTGTATATGTAACACACTTCATGTCCTAGGGAGCCAGGCTGTTGCTACATAGATACAGTACAGCAAGTGAGCACTGACTCAAAACAAAGTGTTTACTGGCATCCACTACAGCTAAGGACTGATAAGCTGGAATATATTGAACCTTTGTTTTTTAGATCAAGATACTTTTAAGTGAAAAAAAGGATAACAATAATTGACCACAGACCTTTCCTCATATTGGTTTTATACTTTGTTTTACTGTATTGTATCCTTTTTGTTTCAAAGTGTAATTTTTGATATTTTTGTACCAATAAAATATATAGAATTTAACTGTAGAAGGGGGGAGTAGAAGGCTTTACAAGCGTTTTGAGTTTACTACTGATAAAGCAATAAAAAGCCAATATCCAAAATTAGAAGCACTGGTTTTGACCAGAGTTAAAGGTGAACTCACTCCAAAACCCCTCCCCAAAACCCCAGTCCCTGCTACATTTGAAGCATTGCCTATTATTCATAATGCTTCTTAAAATTCTTTTCACTTAAAATTATCTTGATTTAAAAAACAAAGGTTCAATATATTCCAGCTTATCAGTCCTTAGCTGTAGTGGATGCCAGTGTTTTGAGTCATTATCACTTGCTGTACTGTATCTATGTAGCAACAGCCTGGCTCCCTAGGGCATGAAGTGTGTTACATATACAGAACATCTCCCCCTCTCTCCATCTTCTGAACATAGAAGGCTATGTTCTGTAGTTCAAAAAGCTAAACAAGACAGAACTAATGACACTGCTTGAGATAACACTGCAGAGTGCACAGAACTATACCGGGATTTTGTCAGGATCAGTAGGTATTATTAGCACTTATCAAACAAGGCACCTTTAATTGTATATTTTGGAGACCAAAAGGGAACAAATAAGAGAAGTTAATTGTTAAGGTTAACATACACTTTTAGGTCAAAGTAGACAATACTTTTACTATTAAAGCAATACTAAAGGTTCATTTTTGTTTTTTCTAAAATAACAAACATGTCTATACTTACCTGCTGTGTGTAGTGGTTTTGCACAGAGCAGCTTAAATTCTCCTCTTCTTGGGTCCCCCGCAGGTTCTCCTGGCTCCCATTTACTGTCAGGTGCCCCCACAGCAAGCAACCTTCTATGGGGGCACCTGCTTCTCTGTGTGTTCATTCACACATAGAGCTGTAACTTGGCCATGCCCCCCCTCTTCTCATTGGCTGACTGGCTGTGATTGACAGCAGTGGGAACCAATGGCTCCTGCTTGCTGTCTCAGCCAATGAGGAGGCAGAGACCTGGGAGAGCCAAGGCTGTCATGAACATTACTGGATGTCGATGGGGCTCAGGTAAGTATTGAGGGGGCCGGGGGCACTGCTGTACACAAAATGTTTTTTTTACCTTCATGCATAGAATGCATGAAGGTGAAAAACCTTGAGCCTTTGTGACCACATTAAGGCTTGTACATATGAATGTCCAGTAACTTGTTACCTGGTAACTGTTGTCAACAGGCTCCACAGAAGGCCTTCCCATTTGATAGACCATGGCAGAGTAACAGATGCAGATAGTGAGCAACGGTAGCATGTATACCACAAGGAAGTTGTAAAGGATAAAAGCCTTCTCATGATAAACTGATGGAAACAATTCAATGCAGTACATTTGTGGTCCAAACCAATAGCCTTCTATGAGCTGGTTATAAATAGGGACTGGGATAGATACCATAAAAGAGCCTGCAAAGAAAAAAGCACATGAAAACTGTAAAATAAGAAAAACGTGTTTTTATATAACTGGTAGTGCACCATTTTATTATATCTAAGAAATAAGAAATACATCTGTTCTAATAGTATTCGTTTCTATATCTACTATCTACTAGAGCTAAAGACAAACCATATTCCTTCTTATAATTTGATTCTGCATTAGCAGGCTTGAGCTGATGTCCAGCATGACATTCCATACACATACATCAGTGTATTGCCACTTTTGCTAATTATTATTTTGTGGCGTGGGACCTTCCATTGGCTAGACCTGCTTAAGGAAAACCCCCAAAAGAAGATTAGTAGATGAAACTCACAATTAAATACTAACCAACAGCGTTAAACTGCATTTGGAATGATATTTCTATACTTGAAAATCAAATATCTCAACTGTAATAGGTTGAGTGATGTCAGCAATGCAAACTGCATCCTGCAGTAGGTATTATTTAAACACCAGATGAAGAATTTATGATCGGTCTCCTAAAGAAATGCTACAAAAGAGGGGAGAGTGATCAGATCAAATGTTTGGACCTATATATGGATCCCTTGAGAAGAAGTCGAAAGTGACGAAACGAATCAGGGACATGACGTCTGACGCCAAACCGGAAGGAGCGGTGTAGCCATTTTGAGTATTAGAATTTCAGCATACAACCTGCTGGGGACTGGTCTTATGGATCTAGAAATCCTAAATGTAAGAAGTCTAATAAATTTGGTTTGATACCTTTTATTATACAATTGATGGATCTCTTCTTTACCTCCATGAGGAATTGAGGAAATTGAAAAGGGTACTACCTGCATGGTGGAAGCTAACAATGAAATACTATATCCTGAATGCTGGTTTTTGCTGCAAGAGGGTAATTGCCTTGAATCCCACTAGTGTGAGGTATCACTGAGTGTCAGGAATGGACTGGCCAGCAATGGTGGGACTCACCTGCCTTTTGATCTGCAGTACCAGGGCTGGCCAGCGGGTGCTCCCAGCAATCAGAGACTCAACCTTTCAGCCAGCTAACACCTGGAACTGATTATACTGGTGTATTTAAGGGATGGCCAGATCTGCAGACTCTGCCTTGGTGTTGTGTTTGTCCTGGGCCCTGTATCTGTCCTGCATCCTGTTTCTGTTCCTTTGCTGACCCTGCCTGATCTGAACCGCTGCTGACTTCTCCTGCTCTGATCCCGGCTCGCTCCTGACCATCCCTCTGCCTGACCCTCTGTACCACGCTGCTTGCTACCTGTTCTGATCCCTGGCTTGTGACCCTGACCATCCCTCTGCCTGACCCTCTGTACTACGCTGCTTGCTACCTGCTGAACCTGGCCTGTGACCCCGACCAATCTCCGCTTGCTCCCCCTGTACCTACCTGCCCTATTGATATTGACCCGGCCTGCCTGACGACGCTTGCTTGTATGTACTGTTATCTGTGGGTGGTTGGTTTGGTTTGTTTGCACTGTATTATGTTTTAGTATTGCACTGCGTTTATGTTTGTATTGTTAGTGTTAATAAATTATATTGTTTATCAAATATCTGAAGTCTGCGTTTCCCTGCGTCAGTCACACACCTCTGGTCATACCCGGGAGCCCTGACATTACACCAAGGCCAATCCTGACCAGAAGTGGCTGCACAGGGAAGCCATCTTGGTTTGTTGATGGGAAGGATGGATCTGGATGAGGTTGCGTATTTATATCTGCTAGTGTTTGATGACAGGGAGTATGCTTATCAAACTCTGAAGGAGTATACCCGGGATGAACTGCTAGAATGTATACGGCTCGCTCATGTTCTAGTAGATCAGGGCACAGAGTTCTCTGAGGTGCAGCCTTTGATTGAGGTTTGTGCTGAGTTGGTTTCATCTGGTACCCCCGAATTCAGGGATGAATTTTTGCCACCATTTAGTGCAGACCAGGTAGAGTCCCTGGTGTGGTTATTAGAGGATGATGTGGGTTACTTTCTGGAGCGTTATTCCACATGTTCACCACAGATACTAAGAGATTGTATAAACGCAGTGCAGTCTTTGGTCAGACAGGCTTTGTGTAAGCTCAGCTTTGTTCAACCCATACTGCAGACATGGACAGACTTGTTGCACCCAGCCTCAGTCAGCTTACAAAGACCCAGTCCTGCTTCTAATCTATTTCCTCAAAACTCTATTCCTGCATTCCCAACAGCTCCTCCTGCCCTGCTATCTACCGCATGTCAGTACCCTGTTCCCACTCGCTGCACCTATCCTGCCTTTAACCCTGTAAAAAAGCCCTCTGTAGCAACTGCTCCCTCTCCTGTTCCATCCTCCAGTTCTTCTCTGTCTCCAGCTGCTCCATTCGTTTGCAGACCTGCGTTTACTTGCAGTGCTCCAGTAGTTAAAACCAGAAAAAAGCGAAAATTCTTTCCAACCAATACCATCCTGCCAGTATCCAAACCGGTGAACCTGCCTTCCGTGGTTCAGCCTGACGCCTGTACTCGGCCTGACGCCTCTACTCGGCCTGACGCCTCTACTCGGCCTGACGCCTCTACTCGGCCTGACGCCTCTACTCGGCCTGATGCCTCTCTTCGGCCTGAAGCCTCTACTCGGCCTGAAGCCTCTACTCAGCCTGCTGCCTCTACTCAGCCTGGTGCCTCCACTCAGCCTGGTGCCTCTACTCAGCCTGGTGCCTCCACTCACCTGATGAACTGATCCAGCCTGATGATCCTATTAGGCCAGTTGACTCGATACCGCTGTTGATCCAGACGATCCGGTACCTGATCCAGTGCCCGCTGTCGTGCCAATTGACTCAGAGCCCGCTGTCGTACTGGTGACTCGGTGCCCACTGCCTTGCCAGATGACGCGGTGCCCGCTGGCGAGCCAAATGACCTGATGCCTGGTGACCCAGTGCCCGCTGTCATACCTGGTGACCCGATGCCTGCTGTCAAGCCAGACGATCCAATGCCTGGTGACCCGGTGCCCGCTGTCGTGCCAATTGACTCAGAGCCCGCTGTCGTACCTGGGGACTTGGTGCCCACTGCCTTGCCAAATGACGCGGTGCCCGCTGGCGAGCCGAATGACCTGATGCCTGGTGACCCAGTGCCTGCTGTCATACCTGGTGACCCGATGCCCGCTGTCGAGCCAGACAATCCAGTACTGATGACCCGGTGCCCGCTGTCGTGCCTGTTGACTCGGAGCCCACTGCCTTGCCAGATGCCACGGTGCCCGCTGTCGAGCCAAATGACCTGATGCCTGGTGACCCGATGCCCGCTGTCCACTCAGACGATCCAATGTCTGACCCAGTGCCCGCGGTCATACCAGTTGACTCGGAGCCCACTGCCTTGCCAGATGACGCGGTGCCCGCTGTCGAGCCAAATGACCTGATGCCTGGTGACCCAGTGCCCGCTGTCATACCTGGTGACCCGATGCCCGCTGTCGAGCCAGACAATCCAAGGCCTGGTGACCCGGTGCCCACTGCCTTGCCAGATGACGCGGTGCCCGCTGGCAAGCCAAATGACCTGATGCCTGGTGACCCAGTGCCCGCTGTCATGCCAGTTGACTCGGAGCCCACTGTCGTGCCTGGTGACTCGGTGCCCGCCGCTTCGCCTGGGGGCCCGAGACCTGTCGCTCCGCCTGAGGGCCCGAGACCTATCGCTCCACCTGGGGGTCCGGCGCCCGCCGCTCCGCCTGGGGCCCGAGACCTGTCGCTCCACCTGGGGGTCCGGCGCCCGCCGCTCCGCCTGAGGGCCCGAGACCTGTCGCTCCACCTGGGGGGTCCGGCGCCCGCCGCTCCGCCTGAGGGCCGAGACCTGTCGCTCCATCTGGGGGTCCGGCGCCCGCCGCTCCGCCTGAGGGCCCGAGACCCGTCGCTCCACCTGGGGGTCCGGCGCCCGCCGCTCCGCCTGAGGGCCCGAGACCCGTCGCTCCGCCTGAGGGCCCAAGACCCGTCGCTCCGCCTGGGGGTCGGCGCCCGCCGCTCCGCCTAAGGGCCCGAGACCCGCCGCTCCGCCTGGGGGCCCGAGACCTGTCGCTCCGCCTGGGGGTCCGGCGCCCGCCGCTCCGCCTGAGGGCCCGAGACCTGTCGCTCCGCCTGGGGGTCCGGCGCCCGCCGCTCCGCCTGAGGGCCCGAGACCTGTCGCTCCGCCTGGGGGTCCGGCGCCCGCCGATCCGCTTGAGGGCCCGAGACCTGTTGCTCCGCCTGGGGGTCCGGCGCCCGCCGCTCCGCCTGGGGGCCCGATGCCTGTCACCCCGCCTGGGGGCCCGATGCCTGTCGCCCCTCCTGTGGGCCCGGCGCCCGCCGCTCCACCTGGGGGCCCGGCGCCCGCCGCTCCGCCTGGGGGCCCGATGCCTGTCGCCCCCGCCTGGGGGCCCGATGCCTATCGCCCCTCCGCCTGGGGGCCCGATGCCTGTCGCCCCGCCTGGGGGCCCGATGCCTGTCGCCCCCGCCTGGGGGCCCGATGCCTGTCCCCCCGCCTGGGGGCCCGGTGCCTGCTGCTCCGCCTGGTGGCTCGGTGCCTGCTGCTCCGCCTGGTGGCTCGGTGCCTGCTGCTCCGCCTGGTAATCCGATGTGCCTCTGCCCGGAGTCCAGCCCGATGTGCCTCTGCCCGGAGTCCAGCCCGATGTGCCTCTGCCCGGAGTCCAGCCCGATGTGCCTCTGCCCGATGTGCCTCTGCCCGGAGTCCAGCCCGATGTGCCTCTGCCCGGTGTGCCTCTGTCCGATGTGCGTCTGCCCGGTGTGCCGCTGCCCAGGGTCCTGCCCGGTGTGCCAGTCTTTGATATCCCGCCAGTTACCAGACCCAGGCGGTGGAACATTTTGCCCAGCTAGGACTGTTTGGAGCGTCCTGAGGCCGCTCCTTGAGGGGGGGTACTGTCAGGAATGGACTGGCCAGCAATGGTGGGACTCACCTGCCTTTTGATCTGCAGTACCAGGGCTGGCCAGCGGGTGCTCCCAGCAATCAGAGACTCAACCTTTCAGCCAGCTAACACCTGGAACTGATTATACTGGTGTATTTAAGGGATGGCCAGATATGCAGACTCTGCCTTGGTGTTGTGTTTGTCCTGGGCCCTGTATCTGTCCTGCATCCTGTTTCTGTTCCTTTGCTGACCCTGCCTGATCTGAACCGCTGCTGACTTCTCCTGCTCTGATCCCGGCTCGCTCCTGACCATCCCTCTGCCTGACCCTCTGTACCACGCTGCTTGCTACCTGTTCTGATCCCTGGCTTGTGACCCTGACCATCCCTCTGCCTGACCCTCTGTACTACGCTGCTTGCTACCTGCTGAACCTGGCCTGTGACCCCGACCAATCTCCGCTTGCTCCCCCTGTACCTACCTGCCCGATTGATATTGACCCGGCCTGCCTGACGACGCTTGCTTGTATGTACTGTTATCTGTGGGTGGTTGGTTTGGTTTGTTTGCACTGTATTATGTTTTAGTATTGCACTGCGTTTATGTTTGTATTGTTAGTGTTAAACAATATAATTTATTATCACATATCTGAAGTCTGCGTTTCCCTGCGTCAGTCACACACCTCTGGTCATACCCGGGAGCCCTGACACTGAGTGTTCACTTTACCTTTGATGTGTATTGGAAGCTGACAAGCAAATACTATTTACATCCAGAAATGCTTGTTGTGATTCCAAGAGGGTAATAGTCTTTAATCCCACTAGCGTGAAGTGTCACGGAGTGCTCACTTCACTTTTGATGTGTTGAATTATCTACTACATTGGTATACACAGGATTATCATTGTTTGCTTTATATTTCGCCATTTTAAAGATCTATTCAATAATTTTATAATAAAAAGGTTATTCATGCCATTGCATATGCACAGGCACACATAATTGGGGGGCCTACATAGTATATCCTTTTAAAAACTACTAATGACATTCTATCTGTCGTTTTTCATATGTATCCAACAGACTGCGATTTAACAATAATGATGGTCCTATGTTTACGTATTTTCTCATGATTGTTTGTACTCCCGCCAATGTATCCTATCATGTTACAGAGCTGGCCGGAACTACAATAACATGGCACCGTATTGGCGCATATATAGGGACACTGCTAGCATTAAGGTGTTTTAAAAAAAACACCACACTGGCGCAGGAATATTATTAATGCGCTATTCTGCACATCAAATATAAACCATGTTATATTATCAGTTGACCGGGACTACAACAAAATGGCGCCGTGCCAATGCGCACACGCGAATATTGCTGACATTGTGATGTTAAACACATCGCGCATGCGCGAAATAGCCGGGAAGATGGCGGATGCGCTAATATGCGCGCCAACTACAGGCTATAAATCAGAACTATCGAGACGTCTGACTAGCATGCACACTCCCTATGACTATGTGCATTTAGCACAAAACGCGTCTGGGTAAGAGCTATGAAGTCCAGACGTCACGCTGCCAAGTCCCATGCGGGCCGGCAGCCATCTTTTACACATCTCATGGTCAGTTATTTTGTTTTTATCATGTCTTACTTTTGGATCAATAAACCATCCTTTTAAACGGTACTACACTATCTTGGCATCCTTTCTTGTGACTCGTGTTGAATCCACCACCCACAGAGCCACCAGGGAAGGTAACTGACGGTGCTACATCGGATGATCCAAAGGGAACCCCAGATGGTCAGAGTTGCCCAGAGGGAAGCCTAAAGATGCTAGACAAGTCCTTAAGAAGATTCCATTTGAGACCTTGAGATGGGATATATCTTCTTAATGCATATTTGAATTATGCATCTGGTGAGTGTATAATTTGAATATTTTATCACCAGAAGACACACGAAGGGTCACCATTCAATATATAGACTTTGGCACTTTATTCCGGCACTTATCAGTCACCTATATATGTCTATTATTGTGGTTTATCCATTTGATATCATTCATTTCAATAATTTAATGTTTTTATCCATCCTCCAGTATTTTATCTGAGTTTTTAGCGCTGCACCTTTTATATATTTATATATAGATTTTTTGGTGTGTGCTTTTTGATTTTCCATGTTTGTCAGGAGTGCACACCAAGTGAATAATAATTTTTGTGCATGATTCACGTGTCACTAATTTATTTTATTTAATGATATTTGAAGGTAATACACTATATCTAATTTCATTTTTTTTAGGTTTGGACTGGTGCACTGGAGTTTGACACACTGTAGAATCATAGAAGATTTTGATATTTTGGACATTATTACTTTGGATTATGATTTTGGATTTTTTTAGACACGTATAAGGGTATAGAGAATTTTCAAGCGGGTGTTATTGAGAGACAGGGGTTTGAGTATAACTAGAGAAAAGGTTTATGGACCTCTATAAACCTTAGGTTGGGCATCTAAAAGTTGTTGAGTGCCAAAAATATAATCTATTCTGCTATGAGAACGATGAATTTTGGACTAGTAGGAGATATATTTATTTTGGGGATGAAGTATTCTCCATAAGTCAAAAAGTTTCAGTTGGGCTAGTTTAAGTTTCTAAAGGTCAGATGCAGGGGTGGACTGACAACTCATGGGGCCCCCAGGCAATAGGGGACCATGGGACCCTTCAGAAAAAGTCAAAGGAAGTGACAAAACGCGTCAGTACGTGACGTCTGACACATCAACGTCAACCGGAAGTGCGATCGTGGCCATTTTGAAAGTGGGAACATGTGGTACTGTTCTCTGGCTTGATCTTGTCTCTAGTATGAGGAGCTGCTCTTTTCAGTTTTGGATGTAAGTTACTGAATAAATGGTTTTTACATTTGATCTACCACATCTAATTGCTGTTTTATTCATGAGGAAAATGGAGGAAAAGTTTATAAGATCATGAAGAAAGATGTTATCCCATACCTGTGATATGCCCTTGTGATATATCTATATAGGGTAATTATCCACTACCACTACACGAGTCGGAGTGCTTTTTGTGATCTAAAAGGGTTCAAGGTTATCACTGCTGTATATAGAGTGTGGTTATATACACAGGATTTTTCCACGGATTTGCTGCAGTGGACTCAATTTGAGTGTATCACGTTTGAGAGTTTGGATATATATTTAAGTGCATGTGGGTGTGTAATTTGCATATTTGATCACCAGAAGATGCACAGTGGATCACTCGAATAAGAGTTTCACATTATATAGACTATGTCACTTTATCGCTTGTAGTCACTATCTTGGATGTGCGTTTGCACTTTTGTCACTTTATTTTTCCTGATATTGGAAATATTGTAACTTTTTGTTATATATCCTTTTAAGAGTTTTGGTCGCTATCACTAGCAATTGATTGATATTTAATTATTTATTATTTTGATGTGGTTTTTAGCGCTGCACCTTTATTTATTATACTTGGTCTTTGGAGGTTGTTGGCACCTTTTGGTGTACAGCGGCTCAATTTTAAGCGCTCACTTGCATACTTGTATACTATTTATTAAAATGTCTTAATGAGGCTGAGTGTCTCATCTCCATACTGTGCTCGAAGTCTTCTGTAAATATCTGCGGGTTTTACACCTTTGTTCATAAGAAATGTCACCACACGCTGTTCCATGCATGCACTAACACTGTTGTTTGCCATCTTGATTAATGGTCTCTGGACTGGCCAGCGAAATGTGCTCTGCCTATCAGTAATAGGACAAACGTGTCACTTACTACTGCCTGTGATACCACCATGCTAGCATCCCTTTTTATACCTGTAAAATTAAAAGTCCTGGTTTCACTTGAACGCTCCTCGTATGTTACCTTACAAAGAAGTGCTGAGATAAATACAGGGGTGCCACTGTTGATATTCGTCTGAAATGCTTTTTGCTTGGCAGCCAGGGCAAACTTATAGCTTTAATAAATAAATAAAGATAGGTGCAGCGCTAAAATTGAGCCTAAATCCATATAATTACACCACATTCATATGTGTACAGTGCTAATTGCACCAAATAAAATGATTTAAAAATAAAGTTTAATATGAGTGAGAGTATGGATCCTCTATCCGGACACCAGCCTCTAGTTCAGCTCCTCTTCCTCTGGAGGTCTCCACAAGCAGTTGGTTCAAAGCCTCCTCTGCTGCCACTTCCAGCAACGTCTTCTCTCTACGTACCATATGGAACTTCCTGAGGACAATGATGATGTACATAGTCTATTTTTACGTTTGCAAAATTTGACTACCTCTGAGATTAGGACCCTATAAGACATTTCCTTTTTGGATAAATATATTAAGGATAAAATGGTTCCTAGGTCCTTCACATGGGACATCCCTCCAGAAACGGATGATATTAATTGTGAAGCGGAGTGGTACCAATTTTTTAATAACGCAGGATTAGATCTGTTGAAATTTTTGGTACTAAGGAAAAAGAAGAAGCTTATATATCTAGATGCAGAAATCAATAAAGTCA